TCTGGCGATAAATGACTTGGGCCTTAACTTGCCAAGAGGGGTTAAACCGCTTCTATTAGCGGATGATCTAGCCATTCTCTGCCGATCTGGCAACATTGACACTATACAAAACAAACTACAGGACGCTGTTAATAGAATCAAAACCTGGTCTCTTTCCATTGGTCTCCAATTTTCTTCCGCAAAAACTAAGTGCATGCATTTCAGTGGAAAGAGAAACACCGCTAACTCACCCGAAATCTACCTCGGAAATTCTATAATCCCGTACTCGAACCAACATAGATTCATGGGCATGATCTTTGACCGAAGACTAACTTGGGAATCACACCTTTCTGCCCTAAAGACAGCCACTACAAAAAGAATAACTATCTTGCGATATCTATGCGGCACTTCCTGGGACTTACATTAATAAAACTGTATCAAGCTCTGGTATGTTCGAAATTATACTATGGGTGCTTTATATATGGGTCCGCTCGCTATCGGATCCTAAACAAACTCGATACAGTTCACCATACAGGCATTAGGATAGCAACTGGCGCATTTCGAACAAGTCCCATCCTTAGTCTCTGCTCTGAGGCCGGAATACCCCCTCTTTTATTTAGAAGGAAAGAAACTGGCCGTTAACTACATTTCAAGGCTGCTTCCCCAAAACAAACATCCCACTCACAACTACATTTTTAAACCTAAATTTTCAAACGCTTTTAGAAACAAAACAAATTCCACACTCCCATTGTCAGAAAGAATTTATTCAGCAGCTGAATCTCTTAAGAACTTACCTTTATTCAATATAGAAAACCAAAACCTTGGATCCACAACCCCCCAAAAATGATGCTCCGTCTCTCTCGATAACTCAAAAACAATACCTCACACTACGAGTACAAAACCGAATTTTCCCGGCTACTACAAAATATTCCGGATCCATTTTTAATTTACACTGATGGTTCGAAATCCGATGATGCTACGGCTTGTTCGTTTGTTACCCATAACTCCACGCATAAAATAAAATTACATAGACTGAACAGCATATACACAGCGGAACTTCACGAGATATCTTCAGCCCTCCACTTCTGCATGTTAATAACTCCAGCTTCGATAGTTTTAATAACCGGCTCCTTGAGTTCATTAAAGGGTTTAAATGATATGTACTCAAAACATCCAGTTATCCATAAAATACACAAATATCTTCACACTCTGGAAAATTTAGGTAAATCGGTTTGTTTTATATGGGTTCCAAGTCACGTGGGTATAGTCGGTAATGAGCTTGCGGATGCGGCAGCTAAACAGGCACTCGCGCTTCCAGACCGAGGTACTCCTATCCTGACCCCTCCAAAAATGAGTTTTCCTCTGAAAAAATAAATATTGGATAGTTGGCAGTCTATGTGGAACGAAAGCCTACCTAGCAAATTAAAAGTTGTTAAAAAATCAGTTAAGCCCTGAATCATATTAAACCGCCCTAATCGTAGTCGCTGCGACCAGATTAAGAATAGGACACACGAACCTAACCCATGTACATCTCATCACTAAGCAGCCACCACCAAATTGTCAGCATTGCAACAGTCTTCTCACAATCAACCATATTTTCCAAGAATGCACTTATTATACTTCAAGCCTAAATCGATTATCTCTAAAACCGAATATATCAGTAGTATTAAACAACGACGAATCAAACATAGGAACCGTGATAAAATTTCTTAAAATCCATAGACTATTAAATAAAATATAAAAATAGATATAATTTGTATTTTATTGTTCTTTTTTTGTATCTATTTTAATATATTTCATTTTTATACGTTTTTAAATATCTTTTTCATATACCACTATATCTATCTATTATTAATTTTTGATTGTTCATTTTTTTTTCTGTTTCTCCTCTAAAGAGTTTACAAACATAACTGACTCACAGGCGTTGATGACCTTGGGGTTTTACGCCTTAAAGCCTGAATAAACAAACAAACAAACGAGCAATGAAAATAAGTTCTAAGCCGAAAACAATATCGCTGGAAAATATAATATTATTTTAAATTCTAAAACAATTTAATCATTTAAATATAGAGAGTATTATTTAAGGTTTGGTCTTCATTATGCTAAAGATATTGAAAATATTAAAGCAGTAAACTTCCCGAAAAATGCCTGAAAAAATTAAGAATTAATATGCCCCCCTTAGGAGGCATTGATAATACCTGATAATCCCTATGTTTAAAAAAAAAATAGAGTGTATTGAGCAAAACTCGGATTAATGACTTGAGCCCGTCGAGTCACGCCCTATTCAGACGATCAGATTCAGTCTGGTTCATCATAAAATAAAACATAAAAATCATCTCAGTTACCATCAGAACGTTTCAAATAGCTTCTTTGGAATGATTAAATCATAATACGTTCACTTTCCATTCTCTAGTTAATTTTATTTAATAAGCATATTCATTTTATTACAATTACTTATTCAACTTTTTTTTTCATAATGATGTAGAGTTGGTTGACCGTTGATATGATATGAGAAGGAATTAGTCGAGGGTGCGGTCAAAAAAATAAAAAAAAAATTAAAATATATAAATAATTTTAATTTTTGCCGACGTTTCGACCCACTTTGCGGGTCGTCTTCAGGGCTACAAAAGATACAAACATGTTGAAAAAATAAAAATAAAATAAAAAATAAATATAAGTATATATAAATTACGAAGAAGTTGTCAGATACAGAAATAAAAGATAAAGAAAATAAATACATGATAAGAAAATAGATAAAAGAAAATAAATACATGAATGTTAACGAATAAATGAATGTTAACGAATAAATTGATTGAAAATTGAATAACTATTGTTACAGTAAAGTTAAAATATGGATAAGATAACATAATAATAAGATATCAGTGGATAACAAGCAAGTGGAGGTTACCTTTAATTGTAAATAAACAGATAACGGGACCAAAGGTTAAGAAGTGAAGAAATTGAAAGATTAATAGGGTAACATTAGTGTAATATTGTTGGGATAGATTATTAAGTATAAATAACTCTATAAGAAAACAATAATTTTAAAAGAATACTTTAAAATGTAAGAATAAATGTAAAAACAAGGTTATGATGATAAAGAACTTTTTTTTTCAATTCAATAATTCAGCTTAACTAAATTTAAAAACAGCTTTTAATTGAAATATGTATAATCAATCGAGGATGAACAAAATTACAAAATCAAAACGAAACCAAAACTTTTGAAAAATTATATAACGTAATTAATTGAGTTGAAAATTAACATAAACAAATTCATTAATTAATTCATTCCGGAGAGAAATTCAAATTATTTTATTAAGCCTAGCTATGCAAATTAAACAAAGTTTAGCCAAATATACAATATAAAAATCGATGAAAGATTGAGGAATCACTTGATTCATAAATCGATGTCGTTTAAAAAAAATGATGCAAAATTATTTGTAAAGAAATCTAGAACTTAGCTATAAGTAACACAAATAATTAATAACAATAACAAATTTATTTCAGGTGGCGCAAAATACAATCAAACAATTGACAAGGCACATTCAATTGGAAACACCTGTTTCTCTATAGACTACAGAATAAAAAAGAATTCTTACAAAATTAACGAATATAACAATCAACATCTGAACTAATGAATTATTTGTTTTTGTTATTTTATGTTTGAAATAAATTCAATTATTAAAAAAAATGGCTAAGCCTTAATATAAAATATAATGAAATATTGTACACATGTAAAAAATCGACAAAATCTTATTTTGAGAAAAATGATGAAAAATCATTTGTATTGAAATCTAGGCCTTAATTATAAGTAACAAAAACATTTAATGACAATAACAATTTTATTTCAGATGGTACCCATCAGAATAGTTTTTTAGGGTTTCATTTTTGGAAACAGTCGTACAACGCGTTCATCACTTTAGTTGATGAAAGTCTGTTTCTTTCTAAATTACAATAAAATAATATTAAAAGAAAAATTAAAATTTCAGTTTGAAAAAATCTTAGTTTCTGAATCCCAAGACTCTGAAACTAGTGTTTATTAAAATTTAAATTTAATTGATTTTAAAATAATTTAAAAATATTTAACTTTCAAAAACACAGTCATACAACAAGAAAGACAACAACCAAGAAGTCAATAGTTAAATGAAGGGTGCTCGGATAAGACTTTTTAAAAATTTTATTGAAGCAAAAGTTACAATCAAAGGACCGGCATAGGGTCTAGGTCCATACAGAAAATGAATCATGTCTATTGTTCAATGGGTTTATATATTGTATATCTGCTGATGTCTGCCGTTTGTCTGGTGCGTCAGATATGAGTTGCCATTACTAATGACAAGACACATGCAAATGGAAACAAAAAATTAGCAAAACACACAATCGGTCAGTAAAAAGACCTTATTGGAAAAGCTATGCCTTTTAAAAAAATGTATACAAAATGACTTGTATAGAAATCTAGTCCTTAATGTATGTGCATTACTTTGTAAACACCTACATTATTTTCATTAAAAAAAATCTGTTTCCTTATAAATAACAGAATAAAAACATTAACACTTTAAACTTTTCATATATTATATCACAAAATCAACTGATATTGCAATCAACACATCAACTAATGAAATATTTATTTTATTTATTTGAAATCAATTCAATTATTAAAAATATGGTTAAGCTTAAATATGATTATAATAAAATGTTGGGCAAATGTAAAAATTCGAAAAATCTTATTTTTAAAAAATGATGAAAATCATTTGTATTGAAATCTAAGACTTAATTATAAGTATTTTTAATTATAGTAATTTTTTTAAAGTTAAAAATATTACTTTTTCATCAAAGGACATTTATAATAGTGTTCAGAGATCACATTCACACTCTATGTACAATAAATAAAATAAATTATACAGCAAAATAATATATATACAATAAATAAGAAAAAAATAAAAATAAAAAGAACACATACATACCTATATACAATAAATCATAAGTAATAAAAACATTTAATGACAATAACAATTTGATTTCAGCTGGTACCCATCAGAATAGTACAAGATCTTTTTTAGGATTTAACTTTTGGAAACACGGTCGTACAAAGGGAAAGTTGACGACGTCTTCTGATAAAAATAAGGAATCAGCAAAGCAAACAAAAGGTCAGTAAAACTACTTCATTATGGAAGTTGTTTGTATTACTATGTATTACTTTAGTTAATGAAAGTATACTTCTTTCTAAATTACAGTACGAAAAAATTAATCTTTTTCCGAAATTATATCACAAAATTAATTGATATAACAATCAACATATGGAACAATTTTTTTTTACGTTTGAAAGAAATTCAATTATTAAGAATATGGCTATGTATAAATATGAAATATGATTATAATAAAATGCTGTACAAATGTAAAAATTCGAAAATGTTAATTTGAAAGAATGAAGAAAATCATTTGTATTGAAATCTAGGCCTTAATTATAAGTAACAAAAACATTAAATGACAATAGAAATTTGATTTCAGATGGTACCCATCAGAATAGTACGACAAGATCTTTTTTAGGATTTAACTTTTGGAAACACAGCCATACAAAGGAAAAGTTGACGACGTCTTCTGACAAGGCACATTCAAATAAAAACATCAAATCAGCAAAACAAACAAAAGGTCAGTAAAACTACTTCATTATGGTAGTTGTTTGTATGACTATGCATTACTTTAGTTGATGAAAGTCTGATTGTTTCTAAATTACGGAATAAAAAAAAATAAAGATTTTCTGAAATTATATCACAAAATTAATTAATGATGTAGAGATGGTTGACCGTTGATATAATATGAGAAGGAGTTAATCGGGGATGCTTGTGTATATATATATATATATATATATATATATATATATATATATATATATATATATATATATATATATATATATATATATATGTATGTGTGTGTATGTATGTATTTATTTTTAGTAGAACCTTTTTGTCACTGCTCACTAGAGCTTTTTTGACACTGCCAGTGTTTCAACTGCCTCCCGCAGTGCTACATCCCACGGTATGTTTTGACTTTTATCGTGATTCCTTTCTTAACACACTTATCCTTTAAATATACACCTTATTATATCTTCATGCAGCCTATTATTCCATTACCGCTTTCAAAAAACTGAATGTCAATTGTCATCTATATATAGTACAACTTGTTTTTGTTTCTTTATCATCATAACGGTCCCGACAACATCCCAGTCAGACTGATTAAAGCCGCATTGCCATCCATTCTTCCGATCCTTTATCATATATACAATTATTCTCTTCAAAATGCTACCTTCCCTACATCCTGGAAAACCGCCCTAGTACGCCCATTGAAGAAAACTTCAAACCCATCAGTTCCTAATGATTTCCGACCGATTTCCCTCCTTTCAAACCTCTCAAAACCATTAGAGCGGTTAGTCCAATCCCAGCTATCCCATTTTTTAGAGGACAATAATCTCCTAAATCCCTACCAGTCCGGTTTCAGGCCTGGTTATTCTACTCAGTCTGCCCTAATCAAAAATTCCCAAGACCTTCACACAGCCATAGATCAGCAGAAACTAACCATCCTTATTCTCCTAGACTTCTCCAAAGCTTTTGATTCAGTAGACCACAACATCCTCCTAACAAAACTTAAAAATATCTCTTTTTCTTCTAGTTCCCTTTATTGGTTCCAATCCTTCCTAACCGGTCGCTCCCAGTACGTTGTAATTCCTAATAACCCACCATCAGAATCTCTACCTCTGACCAGAGGCGTCCCACAAGGCTCTTCCTTATCCCCCACCCTTTTCTCCATCTATATAAATGACCTCCCATCCTCTATCCTGCACTGTCATTACCACTTGTATGCCGACGACATTCAAATTTACCTCTCCTTTAATCCGACAGATATCTCAGATGCCACTCAAAAACTTCAGGAAGATATTGACAGAATAAGTTCTTGGGCAAACCTCAATAGGCTCACTCTGAACGCCGAGAAGACAAAAGCCATCTTGATCGGATCCCCTTCACTCCTCAAATCCTCCACGGTATCTCCCAATCTCTTCCTGAACAACTCACCTATCTTATTCTACACCACCGTTAAAAACCTAGGTGTTACTTTCGATCAATCCCTATCCTGGAAACCTCACATCTCCCAAATTTCCCGTCGCACTATCTCCACCCTAAAACAGTTCAATCGTCTACGATATCTCCTTCCATATAAGTCCCGTCAACTCCTAGTTTCCTCCCTTGTTTTCCCCCACTTCGACTATGGCTGTATGGTGTACGGTGGACTACCGGGAGATTCCGAGGCCAAACTTAAACGCCTAATGAATTGCGCACTACGATTTGTTTTCGGAATCTCAAGGGATACGCATATTACCCAGTATTACACTGAGTTGAGGTGGCTCTACCCATCCTATCGCCGTCAGTACTTCCTAGCCACTTTTCTGTACCAAATCATTAGAACCTATCGACCCTCCTATATTTTTCACAGCTAACAATTCAAATATTCCATCCAATCCCGTCCCACCAGATCTCGTACTTCCGACCTCTATCCTCCTCCTCACCGAACTGCTGCGTTTGACAAATCCTTTGTAATACAAGCCGCCTCCCTCTGAAATTCCATCCCAGCTGATATTCGACACGCTCAATCAGTTTCCTCGTTTAAACCTCTCCTCTTTAAGCACCTACTCCTTTCTCAATCCGAATGATTGTGAAATATATCTAAGAGAAATATCTGAGCACCACCAGAGACTACCTCAATTTATTAAGATTATTTTAGTTTCTCATACATATGTACAATTTACTTGTTCTTTTCTTTCTCTTTTCTGTATTTTTAGCGTAAGTCAACTTTCATTGTAAATATACAATTTAATTGTAGCCACACAGACATATAATCTGTATTCATATTTTGTTCTTAAGGGACAACAGTCCCAGAATAATAAAACATTTTTTTTTCATTTTTTTTTTCATTTTCATAACCTTGTTTTACATTTTAAAGTTCTCTTTTAAAATTATTGTTTTCTTATAGAGTTATTTATAGTTTATAATCTATCCTAACGATATTACACTAATGTTACCCTATTAATCTTTCAAATTCTTCACTTCTTAACCTTTAGTCCCGTTATCTGTTTACTTACAATTAAAGGTAATCTCCACTTGCTTGTTATCCACTGATATCTTACTATTATGTTATCTTATTCTTATTTTAACTTTACTGTAACAATACTTATTCAATTTTCAATCTATTTATTCGTTAACATTTATTTTCTTTATCTGTTAACCCACAGTTATCTAATGTAATCTCTATTAGTTTGTTATACACTTATTCCTTATCTTTTATCGCAATCTGTTTACTTTTTACTTACATGCTATATTCTCCTTTATTTTTATTTTTATTCATACTTATTTTCCATTTGTTTTTATCTTCTACATATATAATACTTAATATTTAACTACATTGTCACCCACTCTGATATCATATTTTATTTCTGTATCTGACAACTTCTTCTTATTTTATATCTACTTATATTTATTTTTTATCTTCAACATGTTCTGTATCTTTTGTAGCCCTTAAAGACGACCTGCAAATTGGGTCGAAACGTCGGCAAAAATTAAAATAATAAATATGTTTTAATTTAGTATTTATTTGACCGCACCCCCCCGATTAACTCCTTCTCAAAATTAATTAATATAACAATCAACATATTTATCATTTTCTTTTATATTTGAAAGAAATTCAATTATTAAGAGTATGGCTAAAGATAAATATGAATTATAATTATATGATTATAATAAAATAGAAAAACGTAAAACGCGAAAAGCTTATTTTGAAAAAATGAAGAAAATCATTTGTATTGAAATCTAGGCCTTAATTACAAGTAACAAAAACATTTAATGACAATAACAATTCGATTTCAGATGGTACCCATCAGAATAGTACGACAAGATCTTTTTTAGGATTTAACTTTTGGAAACACGGTCGTACAAAGGGAAAGTTGACAGCGTCTTCTGACAAGGCACATTCAGATAAAAACAAGGAATCAGCAAAGCAAACAAAAGGTCAGTAAGACTACTTCATTATGGTAGTTGTTTGTATTACTATGCATTACTTTAGTTGATGAAAGTCTGCTTGTTTCTAAATTATGGAATAAAAAAAAATAAAGATTTTCTGAAATTATATCACAAAATTAATTAATATGACAATTAACATATGCAACATTTTTTTTTATGTTTGAAACAAATTCAATTTTTAAGAACTAGGCCCGTGCGAAAAATTCGCACAGCATATTGTTATCAAATGCCAGATTAATAATAAAAGAAAATAATGCAACGTATCAAAAGATAAAGAAATCAAATGATACTTTATCGATAAATATAATCGACAAAGAAAACAAAAATTAATTTAAATCTTCATTTTTGTTTGGAACCAACATGTTTACATATTTCAGTAAGCTGTATCTCTGCTCAAAATTGTCCGATTTCAATGATTTTTTTTTTCCTTTTTGAAGGGAATTAAGTAATCTTTTATATAATCACGGGCATAATTATATGATTATAATAAAATATTGGACAAATGTAAAATGGGAAAAGGTTATTTTGAAAAAATTAAGAAACTCATTTGTATTGAAATCTAGGCCTTAATTATAAGTAACAAATACATTTAATGACAATAACAATTTGATTTCAGATGGTACCCATCAGAATAGTACGACAAGATCTTTTTTAGGATTTAACTTTTGGAAACACGGCCGTACAAAGGGAAAGTTGACGACGTCTTCTGACAAGGCACATTCAACTAAAAACAACGAATCAGCAAAACAAATAAAAGGTCAGTAAAAAGACTTCATTATGGTAGTTGTTTGTATTACTATGCATTACTTTAGTTGATGAAAGTATTCTTCTTTCTAAATTACAGTTCGAAAAAATTAATTTTTTTCCGAAATTATATCACAAAATTAATTGATATAACAATCAACATATGGAACAATTTTTTTTTTTACGTTTGAAAGAAATTCAATTATTAAGAATATGGCTATGTATAAATATGAAATATGATTATAATAAAATATTGGACAAATGTAAAATGGGAAAAGGTTATTTTGAAAAAATTAAGAAACTCATTTGTATTGAAATCTAGTCCTTAATTATAAGTAACAAAAACATTTAATGACAATAACAATTTGATTTCAGATGGTACCCATCAGAATAGTACGACAAGATCTTTTTTAGGATTTAACTTTTGGAAACACGGCCGTACAAAAGGAAAGTTGACGACGTCTTCTGACAAGGCACATTCAACTAAAAACAAGGAATCAGCAAAACAAACCAAAGGTCAGTAAAAATGCTTCATTATTGTAGTTGTTTGTATTACTTTAGTTAATGAAAGTATGTTTCTTTCTAAATTACGGAATAAAAATTAGTACTTTTCTGAAATAATATCACAAAATTAATTTCTATAACAATCAACATATAGAACTTTTTTTTTTATTTTTTAAAGAAACTCAATTATTAAGAATATGGCTAAGTATAAACATGAAATATAATTATAATAAAATGTTGGACAAATGTAAAAATTCGAAAATCTTATTTTGAATTTTTTTTTTTTTTAATTTCTTTATTGAGTATTATAACAATCTGTCTCTTGGACATTGGTTATAGTGAGGTAGGATGACATTCACACTATATGTACAAAAAAAATTGAGTGAAGAATCTGGCCATTGCCAGAACTCCAATTATATAATCTACAAAAGGTCGCGAGGCCGCTGCCGTTTCAACCTTCTTGGAGGATTGTAGGGATGAGAGGTGCTTGATAGGGATTGTGCAAGAGGATTTGGGTGGTACGTAAGGTTCTAGTGAAATTTGGAGAATTTTTCTGAGATAAGGTCTAGGACAAATGGGATGTTGAGGTCATGATGTAGGGTTTTGTTGGTTACATAGAAAGGAGCATCGACTATTGTTCGAAGGACTTTTGACTGGAAGAATAGGATGCGCTTGATGTTGGAAAATTTTGCTGATCCCCACAGTTCTAGTCCGTAAGTCCAAATGGGTTTCAGTATTGTCTTGTAGATCAGTAACTTGTTTTCACCAGAAAGTTTAGATTTTCTATTCAGTAGTCTATATAGCTGGCCATATCGTCTGTTAAGTTCCTGTCTTTTAAGTCGAGTATGTGGATTCCATGTTAGTCGTCTGTCTAAGAGAAAGCCAAGATACCGGACTGTATCTGAGAAAGGAAGCTGGATGGAGTTAAAATAAACTGGTGGGCAGGTATTACGCCGAAGGGTGAAGGTAATGTGTTTACATTTAGATTCGTTTACCTTAATGCGCCATTTCTTACACCAGTGTTCAATCAGGAAGAGGTGCCTTTGTAAGTTTGCGGACGCTGTTTCAGGATCTGAGTTGGAAGAAAGGATAGCAGTGTCATCAGCGAAAGTTGCCAGGAGGGTATCGGGATGGACAGGAATATCAGCGGTAAAGAGAATGTAAAGGATGGGGCCCAAGACGCTGCCTTGAGGAACGCCAGCCTCAATTGAGTAACAGTCGGAGAATTCGGTGCCACAGCGAACTCGGAAGGAGCGGTCGGAAAGATAGGATCGGAGTACTAGGTATAAGGACTGTGGTAGATGGATTTTAAGCTTGAAGAGTAATCCGGCGTGCCATACCCGGTCAAAAGCTTGCGCTACGTCCAGAAATGCACCCGAGCAATACTGCTTGCTTTCTAGGGTTGAGGATATATGGTCAACAACTCGGAGTCCTTGCTGGACAGTGGAATGTTGGGAACGAAATCCGAATTGATGAGTAGGAAGGTTATAGGATTCAATTATAGGTAGGATTCGTTTCAGTAGGATCTTTTCAAAAATTTTTGAGAGGATTGGGAGTAGGCTAATTGGTCTATAGGATGCTGTATTGTTGGAAGGTTTGCCTGGTTTCAAGAAGAGGACGATGGTGGAATGTTTCCATAAAAGAGGGAAGTGGGTAGTTCGTAGGATGCAATTGTATATATATGTAAGAAATATGATGGCTTTAGATGGAAGTTGTCGAAGGATCTGTGGGGTTAGAAGGTCATATCCAGGAGATTTGCGAGGAGTGATTTTCCGTAAAAGGTATTTGACCTCAGAGGGATTAACAGCTTTAGGTGGTAAGGAGAGTGGGATAGGTATTGAGAGGGATTCTTCTACTTTTACTGTGTGGCTGGGATGGGATTCTGGATGAGGAGCGAAAGTATAGGAAAGGTGTTTGGCAAATTCCTCGGCTTTATCTTCATCAGATGCTGCCCAGGAGCCATCATCTCGTCGAAGAGGGTGGGAAATATGATGGGATTTGAGGATTTTTCTGGTGATATTCCAAAGGGAATTATCATGAGCAGAGAGTGTGGTGAGGTAGGAATTGAATGATTGGGATCTGAAGGTGGCTAATTCTTTTTTTAATTTTTTACAGTGATAATTGTAGGAGTGGCGGTCGGCTGGATGTCTGGTACGTTGCCATAATAATCTGGCACGGCGTTTTATGTGGATTAGGTCAAGGAGGTGTTGAGGTAAATTATGTTTCTTAAGGATTTTTGAGGAGTGATCAGGGGAGGAAGCAGTCCAGACTGCTTCTTGAATTTTGGTAGTGAAGGAATGTACTGCATTGTCCAGGTCTTCAGAGGTTTTCAGGGTTAGTCTGAGGTCAATTTTATCGGATAGGATTTGATGAAAGAGTTTCCAGTTAACTGGGCCTCTGATGAAGGACGGAGGAGAGGGTTTAGGAATAGGAGCTAGTGATACTTGGAGTATTAATGGGCTGGGGTCTGAGGAAAGCTCGTCAAGACGGGCAACGGAATGGTTGAGAGCACCTAAACCATTATGGATAAAGAAATCGAGGATATCGGGATTACGGTTAGGATCAGTGGGCCAGTAGGTAGGTGAGTTGGGTGGAAGAAGGGTAAAATTTTGGGAATTGAGTACAGACAGCAATGTTCGACCACGAGAATTCGTGGTTCTTGAACCCCATTGTTGATGCTTGGCGTTTAAGTCTGCACCCAAGATGAAATGATGTCCTAAGGAAATGAGGAAGGAACTAAATTGGATATTGGAGATGGGTTGGTTTGGAGGGCAATACGCTGATGCAACGGTAATAGGAAAGGAGAAGGTTTTGATTACGACTGCGGTGGATTGTAGGAAATCGTGTGTAGGCAGTGGGAGTAGGTGATGGGAGAGGGATTGGTGCACAATGACTGCAGTACCGGAATGTGCTCTACCGTCAGGATGGTCGGTACGGTAAGTTATGTATTGTGGTATTTTTAGGAGCTGTTTTTTAGTCAGTCGAGTTTCCGTTATTAGGGCTACGTCTACGTTCTTGTCTTGTAGTAAGGCTGTTAGTTCGTGTATGTGATTTCTAACACCATTCGCATTCCAAAGGAGAATGGATATGGGTTTGATGGAAGTCATTTAAGGATTTTTTAAAGGAGGGATAAGGTGAGATACTAGGTTAGTGAGAAGTGATATCAGTGGGGTAACAAGGGATTTAAATTCTGAAAGAAAGGATGTCAATAAGCTGGTTAGATCTGTAGCATTAGGCGGTGGAGGAACATATTGGATTTGATGTTGGTGAGGTTGTTGTTGATTAGGTACATTAGGTGGGATAGGATATTGAGATTGGGGTTGAGTTTGTTCTTGTCTCTACCCCCAAGTAGCTTGGCAAAAGAAACCTTACAGTTCACAATTTTAGCGGGTCCTCTTCTTGGTTTAGGTGTATCATCAGGGTCCCTGGGTTTCATATATCTCGCTTTAAGATTTTTATAGTAGCAAGTGTCATGGCCGCAAGTGCAGTTGAAGATTCACGTCGCTCTGTATTTGTTACTATGTAATTTGGTTACTATTTAAAATTCTGGTGTAAGACTATATCAACAGTGACTATATAAACAGTGGTACATTTTATGTCACATATGTTCAGGTTAGTAACTATTGATTAACAATGAAGCAGTAATAAATTAGTGCTCGTTCGGCAAGCCCAAGTGGCCCGTAATCCCTTACAGTTTTATCTTATCTGTAATAAGTTACGGTCAAGACTCGGCTCTGTGTATACTAACATTCTTCGGCTTTGTTCACAGTTCGAATCCAAGACATTTAGGTTTTTTTTTTTCTTTTTTTTTTTTTTTCTCTTTATATTTTTAATATTTTTCAGGAGACTTTTATTTTATTTTCTCATTAATTAATTCTGAAATGAATTATTTTATATTATATCTGTATATAGTTTGTAAATAGTTTAGTTCTTAAGAAGCTATCTTATAATTTTCATTTTAATATTTAGGTTTAAAAAACATTTTTTTTTCTCTCTTTCTCTCACACTCATTTATCCATCATGGATAAATCCATGGATTTGGATAAGAACACTTCTTGTGAAGACTCGGAGAACGAGACACCCTTTTCAGAAATTAGCGAGACTGACTCGCAATACTTGAAAAGACGTACGCTCCAAAAGCGTGTCCGAAACTCCGCTCCCGGTTCGGGAAGCAACTCACCAAATAAGAAAAAAACAAAAAATAAATCAAACAAATCAAATAAGCCAGCAGAACAAGAAAAATCTCCACCTAAAACGAGGAGTAAATCTAATGCCACACAATCAGAGCCAACTGCACCAAGCACCTCAGCCAGCAAGAATACTATTCTCGATAACAATTTATCAAGCAAGATTCCGAAGCCTCAAGATTTTTCTGACCCCGAACCGCCACCTGTTTTTGTTTCAAAAATTGAGAACTTCGTGTCGTTTGGTCAAGAAATTGCAAAACTAATCGGACAGCCAAATTTTCGCTGCTTCTCTCGAATCAATGACATTAAAATAAACACGAACTCTAGAGAAAACTATAAAAAATTGATTAGCCATTTAACTTCCAAAAACTACGACTTCCATTGTTACCAATTGAAACAGGACAAGGCGTTTCGAGTAGTCCTGAGAGGTCTACATCCAACCACTCCTATATCTGTCATCAAAACAGGCCTGGAAGAAATCGGTCATAACGTCAGGCACATAGCACCCGTACTACATCCTAGGGAAAGATATCCGCTTCCATTATTTTTTATAGATTTGGAACCAGCAAAAACGAATAATGAAATATTTCAGGTTCAACGTTTAGTATACTCGACAGTACGATTTGAAGAACCAAGACAGAAGCCCCTAATAGTACAATGCACTAAGTGTCAAAACTTAGGGCATACGAAGACATATTGCCATCACGAGGCCAGATGTGTTAAATGCGCCGGTTTTCACGCTTCAGACACTTGCCAGAGGCCAAAAGATGAGCCCGCTACATGTGCTCTTTGTGGTGAAGCCCACCCTGCAAGCTATAGAGGTTG